AGGCGAACACAATACGATTCCAGGAATCCCTCACTTCCTGGAACAGATTAAAAGGGACACACAAAAGATTACTTAGGGGGTTTGGTCTTTTTTTTTTTTTCCGCCGAGCCTCATTACTCCGGAGCCAGTGCAAAGACAGGTCGCTGCTCTCCGGCTCTGCCCGCAGTACTCGGGGAGATCTTATTTATTCGTACCTATTTATTACTATTTTGGAGTGCTCTGAATATTTTTTTTCTTAAAGACTGCTCTGAAGGAAGATTAGTTCCTCTTTAAATATATTTAATTTCCATTTTCTCGGGTTATTTTTTTAAACTTTTTTTCTGCTGTTTTCTGAAAGGCAGAACAAGAATACATTATTTTTCTAAAGCACTGGGAGTGCACACATTTTTCCGGCCAACGCTGCTAAAGGTTTTCTCAGGCAGCTTCGCCTTCTGCTTGGCTTTGCCTGGGTCTGAAACAACCTACTGCGGAAGGGATTTGCTGAGACTCTCCAGCCTCTCTCACCTGAGCCCCGGCTAGAGGCTGAGCCAGCTTGCTGCTTCTGGGAAGCAAGAAGGCAAGGAGAGAAGAGGAGAAAGCACTTGCACCGTCTTGAGGACTTAATGCTTTTCCCTTGGTCCAGGAGTGACATGATCCTCTGTGTTCAGGGGTAAGACTCTTTGCAGCCTTCTGTGACAAGCTCTTGTTTGATAATTGTAATTAGTAAGGTTCTCGGGGATGGGTTTTCAGCTTGTGTGAATTGCTGTGTGTGACTGTAATGGAATGGGAATGACTTAGGCTGAGTGCTGAGTTCTCTATGTGTGTGTGTGTCCTATGTGTCTGCATTTTAGGTCCCATGGCCAAAATCATGGGAACATTCCTGATTTCTGTGAGTTTTAATGCTGAAAAACTACCTGGTATTCAAAGTCTTTGGAAGAGTAAAAATGAATAAGTACTTGGAGTGTGTTGTTCAGCAGTGTGTGTGCAGCACCAGCGGGGACACAAACCTGAGACCATAGGTATTATTTAATGTCCTTCTGGAAGCAAACTGCTTACAGGGTAGGACTTCCCTGGAGTGTAGGTGGTTTTGTCTATTTCTAAGGAAATATTTATGCTAAATACATGTTTTCATTTTTCTGTTGTTTTAGGTGTAAGTTTAACCATATGTACATACACACAGGCTTACCCATACACAGCTTCTGTAGAATGAAAGATAGTTACACATCTGTGTTCAGTAGAACAGGCAACAGCCAAGTGCCTTCTCTGGTACTGATGTGTTGGACTTCAGTGTCCCTAAAATCAGCTCAGTCATCAACATGCAGAAATACCTGGTCTGCAGGAATCACCAGGCATTTTTACACATGCTGTGTGTTTGGAAAGTGTCAGCATTTGTTTCAGCCTGAGCCATCATGTCAGGATTTCCCATCCCTCCTGCGATCAGCGGATTTTCCTCAGAGGAAAATCCTCCTTGTCTGCTTTCACGAAGCATGGGGATTTTTCTGCCATTTCTCCCCCAAATGTGTTCCACAGACAAGCAGAGCTTGTGTTTGCCAATAATTTCCTACTACTCAAGTGGGTTTGTTTTCACTCTTGTTTTTGGTCTACTGCTGCGGTTCCTATAGCCATGGCAAAGGGAATTCAGCTTTTAACTTGGGCTGTGGAAAAACCCTTATCTGAAGCTTTTCTCCAGGGTCAACATACCAGAGCTACTGCTTCCCTTGTTCACTAAGAACTTGCTATGGAGCCAGATATGTAGATGGATGTCTTTTAATGTCTATTTTTATGACCATTTATTGCTCAGTTTTCATTATTCTCTAGGATTTTATATATCCTGGACTCCATACTCTCCCTCCTATTCAGACCAAGCTCCCACAAGGGTCTTGGGATGTGGCTGATAGAAGGGAGAGCAGCTCGACACACTTGTACTGTTTGTACTGTGTTACAAAGTTTAGCTTATCAGCACAGTAACTGCAAAGCCAACACTAAATGCCATCAGACATATCTGATTGTCTTGAACTTTCTTGTCTTTTCAAGGCTTTCTGAAACACTAATTGTCAAAGCACAGGGAAGTTCATTTGCTGTTTCTCTTGAGACTCCACGCAGACTACCAGCTAGACATGCCAAATTTTGTATAGGTGTTTTCTTCCTCCTCACAGCCATTGTACTAACACTTTGCTCTGTTCAGTCCTGATGCTCCATGTCTCTCCTTTACTTTCTTTGTTACAAGCATTGACTGTTTGCAAATGCTCACTTTGCCCCACTAAAAGGCTTTTCATGTCCGCATACTTTTTTCAACCTGTCGTTATCCCAGCAAACTCTTCTTACTCCTCTTGCAGATGTTTTTGCATTGAGAGTTGTAGTCTGTCACTACTTGCTGATCCCTCAGCTCTCCCTTTCCTGTGCTTGGAGCTGCTCTGTTTGGTCCCAGCTGCAGCTCTTAAACCTATGTGCAAAGTGGTTTAGGGCACAAGCACCTCCCAGTCTGTAAGAATTTCTAATCCCCCTCCTCTGTTCCAGCATTTGAGCCTACAGCTGCACTAGGACTGTGTGTGTGGGAGAAAGGGGCACAAGGCAGGTGTAGAGAAGGAAAATAGGATAAACGTGTCAGCACGGCCCTTTAGTCCAGCTGTGATGGAAGGATTTCCACAGTGATCTGGGCTCCTTCAGCCTCATACGGTAGCACAAAGTGTAAGGCAGCAGAAGCCCAAGTACAGTGGGAAACTATCTCAAGCACATGGGCTCTGCTTCAGGGAGACCCACAGTGGCTCTGTAAAAGAAACTGACAAATTCATACAGTTGATGTGGCTTTTGGAGGACTGAAGTGTGAGCTGGTAGCGACCTTGAAAGTAACAACTTCACTCTCGATTCAAGGCAGACATTTCTATGCGTAGCTTTGCTATCTCTCCCTTCCTTCCCAGTCTCTCAGCCAATTCCTAATTTCATCTCCAAAGTAGACAGATAAAAAGAAAAAAAGCTCCATGCTAGGAATAAGAAAAGTTTTCTTCACATATATAAAATGCACATCTCAGGATTTAAAAGAGAACTCAGAGGTTTCTCAACGGTGATCTCCAGGTATAAAAGTGTATTCATATGCACAGTTTTGTGAAAGCCCCCGAAAACAGAGCCCCTGTGACCAAGGTTGTCTGGTGAGGGTAAGGCCCAACAATCACTTCTGTCCTGTCTGGCTTCCTACCCATTAACAGAAATTAAGAAACGAAGATCAGATGGCACAAATGCCAAGTAGATGTCTTGCTTGTGATTTGACACATGGAAAAAGGAAGAATGTTCTTTCCTAAATACCAACAGAGTAGTGGGGTTTTGCCATGTATCACAAGGGCAAGAAGCCTCTCTCTGTAGACTTAAATTTACCAGTGGTTTTACAAAAACCTGACTCCAAACCTGTGTTTTATTAGAAATGCAGAGCTGTGAACTCTCACTCACAAATCACTGTGGGGGAGCTTTCATGTTCCCTCTAATCTACTTTCCCCCCACATCCCTTCTTCTTGCTCCCTGTGCCATGCTTGAGATTCAGCAGTTTGAGAAGGTGGAATGCAGCTATGATCAGGTGCAGATCAGTTTACAACACATTTACGCATGTAGTTAAAGTGTCCCTGTTCAACAGAGCACGGGTGAGGAGGAAGATCGGAAAGGAAGTGCTTATGACTTCAGATTCTTCTGCTGCTTCTCTCTTCAGTGATGGGGGGAGGTGGCTGCTGCCTGTGCAATCACTGTCAGCTCCAGGGTGCTGTGACAGTGTCACACTGAGGACTCTGTATTTCTCTGGAAACTCAGCCATCTTTTACATTAAGTGTGTGAAAGAACATCGCAAGCATGTGGGTGATCATGGTGGGGATGTAACACAGGACACACAGCAGTATAGGGCACACAAACAGCCTACATGAAGAGACAGAAACTGATTTTTGCTTAGGAGCTTGCCTGGAAATGAAGACTTCCCTGGCCCCTGGCATCCACCCTCCCCTTGGAGCTCTGACTTCCTTTAGGACTAATCTCGCTGCTGTAGGGTAGGAGCACCCATGGCCCATAAGAGCTCCAGGCTCTAAAACTGTGCTTAGATGCTGAATGGCTACACTAATGCACTCTTTAGGCCACAGAGAGATTTATGTTCCTGGCAGACCAGCCATGGCAGAACCTCCTCCCTCTGTAATCCTACAGGGATTACAGTCACACTGACATCTTCGTTGTGCTGCTGAATGGTGTGGTTGGTGTAGTGCACAGGCTTGGCTAAAACAGGAATTCCCATTATTCTACTACACCATCTACTACACTCTGAGTTCTAACAGATTCGTCTAGGATCAGGTCATCCTTGAGCAGAAAGTGGGTAGAACAAAATCCAAGCTATACCCAATTCTGCTTCTAATTATATTGCAGTAAATGACTAACAAACCCACTGGCAGAAACAGAAATGCTCCAACAATGTAATCATGTAAACAAAACTGTAATGCTGCTATAAACCTGATTGCCTCTGAAACTACATATTAAAAGGCAGCATTTAAAAACAACAGGTTCAAATCAACCTAAATGACAAGACAGACCACCCTTTGCAAGGCCAACTCTCTCTCCATTTCTGAGCGCTCATCTTTAGCTGTGTCATTTCCCCTTCCTTTGCCTTTCCCTGTTTGAAACGCAATCATGTTGAGGATCTGTTTATAAAACATAACGTGTTGCAGTAAGCTGTAGAATGCACTGATCAGACACTGCAATCAATTTCAAGGCAAGGAGAAATAGCAGAGTTTGCCCTTCTTTTCAGACCTCATCCTTTGCTGGCAGAGGAAAAGATCAGGAGACTGTCACTCAGGGGCATTGAGGAATTGTCAGAGCCCATCATGCAGCCTCTCCCAGTTATGGCCTTCCAGGAGGAGTCCACGCCTGCCTTCGCAGCTCCAGTTCCAGACAGCAACTCACCTCAGGCACGGGACCCTGAAGAAGACCTCCTCTGCATAGCAAAAACCTTCTCCTACCTGCGAGAATCTGGTAAGGCTCAATCACAAAATAACAGGGGCAGAAAGCTGCAGGGACCCCACTCTGCAAGCTAAGCCCCAGGAAGAATCTCCTGATCCCACTTCAGATAGGAACCTGGTCCTGTCACCCACATGGCTGACTCTTGTGCATGTAGCAAGTGTATTTGCAATCTCCACAAATTTGTATCATGAACTAATTTATTACTAGTGTAAGCGAAAGCTTTATCTTTTACAGCCCAGTCAGGAGAAAGAATTACAAAATGTTGCCCTTTCTGTGTAGACTGCAGCAGCTGCAAAAGCTGCCAAGCCTCATCCTGAGCCCCAGCACAGCAACAAGCATAGGCAGGAGACCCTTAAAACTTGACTCGGTCTTAATTTATGAAGGTCTTGCCAACTCTGTCCCTGGTTGCTTCCCAGGCCTTGAACTCAGTAGGATTCAAGGCTTCCCTAGAATTACAAAATGTTGCCCTTTCTGTGTAGACTGCAGCAGCTGCAAAAGCTGCCAAGCCTCATCCTGAGCCCCAGCACAGCAACAAGCATAGGCAGGAGACCCTTAAAACTTGACTCGGTCTTAATTTATGAAGGTCTTGCCAACTCTGTCCCTGGTTGCTTCCCAGGCCTTGAACTCAGTAGGATTCAAGGCTTCCCTAACATGA